ATTGATGATTATTTTTAAGTTGGCAAGAATGTGCGTAACATTCCAATTTCAATATCTGATGAGGATGTGTTATTTTTCCACGATAGTACTGTAGTTGCCCAATTTGGTTTTTTGCCGCCCACATGGCCCCATGCTAAATCCAGCCCTGGGTGTCCGCAATGTATGTAGTACCATTGTATTATACATGGTTGTACGGTACAACTTGTACCTACATAAAAGAACGAATCTGCCTGCCTCTCTATTGTAACGGAACACGTTCATGGACTGGTAGGCAACACCGGTCTAGGACATTAGGGCGCCGCCGAAAGGGCGCTGCCGTTATGGCGCGAGACACAAGGGCGCGTGGACATAAGGGCGCGAGGACAAAAGGGCGCGAGACAAATGGGCGCGGGACATAAGGGCGCGAGGACATATGGGCGCGGGACAGAATATTCTCTAACAAAATATATTGTTAGTGTGTATTGATATTTTCTATCAACAGTCATTATACGGGGCATTCGAGATACCAAAAACATAATACGCAATGTCAAAAGTTGGGTCACACTTTTTATATCACTTTTACTTCCATTCCATTTTTATGTTTTTAGGGTCTACATAGTTGTTTAAACGGGAATGTTATGCTTTCTCCCAATCGCTCGCTCGCTCGATTTTTATGGCTAACCAGAATAGAACCACCGAACCGATTGCGATGTACCTACCTACCTAATTGTGCAGATGGATTCTTTATCAAATTTATAGATAGGAATTGCACGAATTTCAAAATAGGCATAGCCGACACCATACAATAGGCGACGCCAAAATTTGGGTTCGATAGATTCAAAATTCACAATGCCTTTTTGACTGCTCGGCCATTCCTGAAAATATTTAAAAGGGAACGGTTGAACGCGAGGTTGAACCGATTAAGCTGAAATCTATCTATTCGGTGGTGGAGCCAAAATTTCAAACGCAATTTGCGGGTGAAAGGGATGTCGGAATTTGGTACCGGTACCAAAGGCAAACTTGTGATTCTCGACGATGCTACAAAAGTCAGCAAATTAATTTAGTAATTTTTAATTAGAGAAAATGAAGGGTAAGGAAATGTAATGTGATCGCGATGAAAAATAAATTTGAGATACAACCGGATTTATCCATTTCGCAGTTTGTCAATATTGTTGAAATAAATATAGTTACCTATTTAATTTATTGTAACTATGATACGATAAAATATTTAGTTCATCTGTCATAATTATACTGATAACTGGACTGTATGGAAATTCGCCATTCGGAATGTTTTGCGAGCGTATACAAATGCTTACGAGATATGTAATGGAGATCTCAGAATGCCAGAGGCTCTGAATGAGGAAGCTACTGCCGAGCAGAAAGCATAATATATTAGAGACCTGAAGATTTGGGATAAAGCGGACAGAGTTGCTAGTCAAGCATTGGTCAAAGCATTGGAACCCAAAATAATGGCATTACTGGTGACATGCAATACAGCAAGACAGATGTGGATAAAACTTCATTATAGTATATTTGAGCAACAGACCAAACAAGCTGCTCATGTAGTACAGGCGGAGTTCTTTAGTTTTACAATGAATGAGAAAGATGATATGGTAACTCATATCTCAAAGTTCGAAACTCTTATCTTGAAAATGAATGCACTGAATGTGAAACAAGATGACATGTCTTTAGTAGTAAAACTTTTGGATACACTACCAGATAATTATGATAACTTACGGCAGGCATGGTGGGCCAGACCAGACGAACAGCAAACGTTTAATAACCTGGTGAATGTACTAACATCCGAAGAATCGCGAAGAAAACAAAGACATCTACAAAGCGAGGCATCAGAAGAAAGTACAGGAGCACTACTAGCTGGTCGATATAGGAGAAAATCACAGATTTCACATAAAAAGAATACTACAAAAGGTGTAACTACAAAGAAAACGTTTACTTGTTATGGTTGCGGAGGCAAGAATCACATAAAACGAAATTGTCCCAATCGTAAACAGAAGTTTTACAACGAGGAATCTGGAGAAAACGCTTTCATTACGGAAGTCTTGAATGCGGAAAATGACGAAGATTTTTGGATTGTTGATTCGGGGGCCACTGATCATCTAACATATCATGGCGAGTGGTTCTCATCTTTTGAACAATTTAAGACACCAGTCAAGGTCCACATTGGAAACAAGACATCGATGGATGCGTTGGGAAAAGGCGTCGTAGAAGTTAAAACTTTTGTTGATGGTAAAATTTTTGATTTTCGAATGTTAAATGTTCTCTTTGTTCCAGCTGCTCGTAGAAATCTATGCTCGATGACAGCAGCTTTAGACAAAGGATACGAGTTCAAATCAAATCAAAAGGAGTGCTTTTTCGTCAGTGATGGAAAAACAAAAGCTAAGGGTAGACGAGTTGGCCAGTTATTCACAATGATAATGAAGGTGAAAGTACCAGAGAATAATTTATTACAATTAAGTAATACGAAAGAAACAAACGTGACTTCGAAATTGAAATCAATTCAAGAGTGGCATGAAATGCTCGGACATCAAAACAGAGTACAAGTCGAAAAAATGTTAAACCGTAACGGAATCGAGTACACCAAACAAGATTTTTTTTGTGAAGCATGTGTAAAAGGTAAGCAGCATCGTAAGGTTTTTCAACTACGACAACAACGTGCTCAACGAGAAGGTGAAGTCATGAATGTTGATTTATGTGGTCCTATGGAAATCACTTCGTATGGAGGATCGAGATATTTTATCTGTTTTATATGCGATTACTCAAAATTCCGATTGATCAAATTTCTTAAGGAAAAATCAGAAACTACAAAAGGATGAGAAGTTTGCTAGGGCTTACTACAAATGTGTAAACCATTGATATAATATAAACTAAAGATTTAGGAGGGAATGTTGAAATAAATATAGTTATCTATTTAATTTATTGTAACTATGATACGATAAAATATTTAGTTCATCTGTCATAATTATACAATATACATGTTTTCAGTTTATTGCTCTAATAGTTTCAACAAATATTAGAATTCATTTCGACTATTTTTGGCAAAAAACGAAAGTTGGAAACTGTTGGTTTCAACAAGATAGTGCACCCAGGAATATAAAAGATGTAACCCAACTTTTGGCATTACGCATTATATATTTTTGGTATCTTGAACGCCCTGTGTAATGAATGACTGTTGATATAACCATTGAATAAAAACACTATAAGAAGCCTAACGCTTATGGAAGAAAGCGCGACAAATCTCACAAATCCCCTTGCACCCGCATTGGTTGTGACCATCGAACTCTCTTTGCGGTAAATAGGAGGAAAGCAAATTCTCATTCTTCTCAGTTCAAGAATCGACTCTATTGACAGTGTTCCCATTATATTCTCAGTTCAAACTCTGTCGCGCTTTATTTCCACGGGGTTAGGCTTCTTATAGTGTTTTTATTCAATGATATAACGTATCAACACAAACAAACTACAATATATTTTTTTAGAGAATACTCTATCCAGCGCCCATATCTCCTCTCGCCCTTATGTTCCGCGCCCTAATGTCCGGCTCCGTAGGCAACACACCATACACAGATTTTGCAAGTGTAATATCGTAATTTGTAGAACCATTGTGTATAATCCTCAGATTACTTAATTGTTAATCTGAGGTATAATCAGTGGTAGAACTGTAGAAGTTACAGGCCAACAATGTCTTGCTGGGCGCTATTTTGGATGACGCCTTTCCGAATCATATTTGGACTTGGGAACAGGCATTTCGGGATTGAACGGAGTCCAAATAGATTTAAAACGTGGTTTCCCTGACTATTATTCAAGCTCCCAGCACGCAGTACAAGTATGTTACGGACCAACAGTGTTCTGAGTGCCATTTTAGATGACGCATTTTTCGCATGCCCTCTCAGTTTTTTATGCAGGTGTGTCCATTCCTTCAGAGGGTGCGATCATACTTCCCTCGTGTAGCCGAAATTGTCACCATAACCCCTTTTATGGGATCCGCGACCGATGACTGTAGCCATGAGGAAATACCTACTCTTGTGCATCAATTGTTCTCACGTATCACCACTACTTCAAGCTTCCTCCTTTTGTTATTGCATTGGTGGTAGTAGATAGTTTTCATTTCATCCTTTATAACACTTCCTATTCGTTAGTTTGCATTCCAAGGGTAGGTTGACTAATAAAATCGGCATCAGAAGAGTTGAACGGGTATCGAGCGCTAAAATTCCCCAAGACTAACGTCTCCGTCAGTTCACAATATATGGTGGTGTGCAACAAATGAACAAACAGTAGCGATTTAGAGAAACCGCTGAAATCTAAATGGGTTTTGAATAAATCATATACAAGATAAGAGTAACCGTTTTAATAAGAAAAAAATTGTAGTTTTATTTTCATAGTTACCTAATGCTAGAATTTCTCAGAAAATACATTTCAAAATTATTAACAAGCTTGTTTATGTTTAAAAGTCTTGTCAAGAGCCATAAATCGATGCCAAAACTTACCTATTCGTTGTGAGAATTCAAGAAAAGCGTAATAATGGCAATTAACTATCCCATAACCTGCCAGGTTGGCTTACCCTTCTCTTGAATTTATCCAAAAATGAATGTCCCTATACCATTGATTGTTGCAATGTCACACTTTTCAATTACATTTTTGATTTTAATGGGTCACAGATAAATAGAAAAAGATTGAGTTAAATTCACAACATAATGGCCTAGGCCTAGGACATTCTTTGGTGACAAATCTACAGATATAGATACAATTATAATCAAATTGGATTGAAATAGACATGCAAAGGGGTCGATTGAGAAACATTTATCAATTCCAATTCTTACCATAGGGCACATTATCAGTACTTTGAGATTTCAATTATTATCAATGATGTTAAAAATCTAGTAACAGTGCTCAAAGAAAGCAAAAGTAAACGCTTCATTTAAATATGCGTTGCAGTTTCATCACCTTTAATAAAAACAAGTTCATGCCAATACTAATTAAGCAGGATATACACAGCAACAAAGTCGGAAATTCTTGGCCGTTTATCAAAATCATTTTGTAAAATTACATGGTTCCAGACGCTTCTCCTAATGAAGCCATAAGTGACTAATGCCTGTATTTATATTCAAGTACATGTATTTTTTCGAAATCCAACGCCAGTTTTAAAAAAAAATATTATAATAGGTTAGATTTTTGTACTGGACTATAAATACAGCAGGCGTCTTACGCAATTGGGTCCTATTTTCGACGCTATTGAAGGGCACCCCTCTGTTTATTACAGATTCAAGGTGGGAACTTAATATTCCATCCAATTTATTGGGACAACTGTTTCCCCTCAGGAAGATACCTTATATTAAAGCATAGCTACATAAAGACATAAAAGCGATTTATTATTCAAATTTAAAAAAGTTCGATGAATCTGAGACTTAAAAATAATAATACATTTTCATATGAAAAATTGTGCAATAGTATAACTATCTCTGTTACCTAAGGATTACGTCAAAGGTAATTTTTACATTTTAAAAAATGAATTTTTTTTATGTAAACTAATAAAGCTATTTGTGCCGCTGGATGTTTATAACAAATACACAAAACATAATACTGAGTCAAATTTTCTAAGTGTAAAAGTATGCGAATTGTAGAGTCATATCCTGACGAAGGCGTATCTTAATTTCCGACCTGATCATAAATCAGAAATTAAAAACTAGCATTCACACATTCTCGACACTATGGGCAGGTGTGTAAAAATAATCGTTAAATAAGATTTCCTAATGTATAAAAATACCTACTACTATCACAAACAATTATATTAATGAAAATTTCATTATAGTCTAGTGTCTTCGTTTTTCTCATTTGCTCCTTCTTCGACATTTTCAACCGAAGGGGTTTTCTCTGTTGTGTTCCCTTTCAGTATCTGCTGAATTTCTTCCAAAGTTTTTCCTTTAGTTTCAGGAATGCAGAATATTGTAAAGACTGCAGTGATAAAACAACTACTAGCGAATATAAAGAAAGGCACGTGCATACCGTATAGGCCCTTTAAATGTTGGAATAAGTAGATAGACACCACCGCAAAGATGACATACATCGCGTCCGAAACCGTCATACCAACGGCCTTTACGCTTGTGGGGAATAGCTCGGCCGTCATCACAATAGGAACCATACCTAAACCGTACTTAAAAGTAACCGCGTAGAGCATGACGGACGCTACAGGCACCCAATTGTAAGACGAGACGTCTACTCCAGAGTTTTTCACGGAGAAATACGAGGCGAGTATAAGTAACGAAATACCTGTTAATATACTGGAGCTTGAAAGTAAAATTTTTCTCCCAGCTTTATCGATCAAGCTTGCTGACACACAAGATGCCGTTAGCATAAGTACGGCAAATATAATAGCTGCAGTGCTGGGTGATAGCATGGAAGCTGCATCTTCTAAAATTGAATGAATGTTCATTAAAATTACACTAATACTACTAAAATGTTGGGCACAATTCAGAACGGTCATAATTATTATCGCCTTTCTATTGCTCTTCACTAGTATCAAGTCCAGGGGGTGCCCCCTCTCGCTTTTCTGGCGTTCAACTGCCCTCGATATCTCCTCCAGTTCTTTTTCCACGTCCATAACCGCTCTCAGTTTTTGCAACGATCTTCTCGCCTCATCTTTCTTGTCCTTTACAAGCAAGTAGTACGGCGATTCGGGCATAAACGGAAAGGAGAGTATTTGAATTAACAAAAATGAGCACCCCACCGCCGACGAAACTGGAATCGACACGAAAGGCGCGACGGAGTAGACGACTACGATTCCGAAAAGCATCATCAAATAAATAAAGGAACCCAAAATTCCGCGTATGTGTTGGTCCGCGATTTCGCCGATGTACATCGGCGCCGAAACGAACGCCACGTCTCCCGCGATTCCGCTTAAAAATCTCGCCACGTACAGATATTCGACCGACGGAGCGAACGCGATTAGAAACCACGCGACCACATTTTGAACGGCCGCAATAAGTATCGAGTATTTGCGTCCAAATTTATCTACACTAAATATGGTGAGGGGCAGTCCGGCGAATCCGCCCAGCATGTAGATGTTTTCGAGCCATACCACGTCCGCTTCGGTAATTGGTACCGGCGAGTTGGGCGATTCCAAAATTGGTATGACTGGCGCCGTCCAACCATATTGCATTCCATCGGACACGGCGCTGATTGTACCTGAAAAGAAGACAGAAACATTAAATACTAATTTAACAACTCAATCAATGGTTATCACAAGGCAATAATGATAATTTTTAGAGTGCCCTTTAATTCTATTTACACGGGCGCTGCTTACTTACTCATGTTTCATGGTAATTGGACGAAAGGTGTGGTAACGCACAAAGGATAAACAGACAGACAGATACAAATACGCGTTGAGTGAAAATTTTGGGTCGGCGGAATTCCAAAGCCTGTGTCAACTTATTCGACATTTCCAAGACCATAACTACTCCTTTACGCCCATAGTCAGCCGGAATGATAGAACCTAAGAACGCATGAATAGGATAATGGGGAAGTACTTGTCAAAAATTGTGTACGACCACCAGCGTGATTTGGGATCAATATCTGCATTTGTTTCTGATGGCCAATCGTTCCGCGGTGCAGGAAACTACGGGACAAAGCCCAGCGTTCGTGTTGTTTGAGAGGGAGCTCCGTTTGCAGTGTGATTTAAAATTTGGCACAAGACCCGGCCAGGAAGAAACTGTGGGGAACCTACGACAGAAATCGGGCGGAAAGTTCGCGATAATATAGCTAGAGACAAACGTACGACTTGAAGGCCCAAACTGGTGGCTAGGCTATCAACCCGGAAATCTGGTTGGTTGTACCGTCGCCAAAGAAGATGTGGGCTATCCCCGAACTTAAAAGTTTGAGAAGGACCTACAGTCCTAAAGAGAATAAAAGACTTAATATATGGGATACTGAAACTACTACGAGGAAAACCAGCTTAGTGCACATAAATCGGTTGGACCTATACGCGCGACAGAACGAGCCCGAAGAACATCCAGAAGCGGAGAGTGTGAGGCATCGAGGCGCCATGAAAGAGTAGTAATCGCCGATATGTCCGTGTCCGATATGGTTAATTTGGTAGCGAACCCTGCGCCATTTGTGAGATTTCTTCACAATGAACATTATTATTATTATAAAAAACAAAGGCGGATGTGACTTAATCTTTCCTAGAAATATGACGGGTTTTTTTCGAGAACATTCTGAAGCGTCCTTGAGCACTCGAGAACATTCTAAGAACATTGTAGAAAAAATGTTGTGTGCTATATGAGCAAATCGAATTGTGTTTCCAGTCAGTTCCTACATCGATGCGTTCTTGTTATATTATAAATTGTGAGTGATAAATTGTAATTACCGTTATAAATTAATCCATTTAAGACTGTTGTAAATGTATTGTTAAGTAATTGTAAATAAATAAACAACATAATTAAATTTGCGTTACTTTTGCATACGTTTGTCCATTCCTACTGGACCAACTCAGATTTTATGTCCATCCTAGATCCCTTCAATGAGCAGATTTTTTTGTAAGCAAAATGCACAAAACTAACTACCAACTAAATACACCGATAGAAAGATGTATGCGCACGGCTAATTCTAACCCTGACCTTAATATGTTTCAGTTATCTCTATGTAAATTTAAGTGGTATGTAGAACGTATATTAAATCAGGATGATTATTGTTTTTATACCTAGTTAAGTTTCAATTATTACTTCTTATCTTAGTAGTTTAGTTGAAAAATTAGCATGTATGATGTAAGTAAGTATTTAATTAATTTAATTTACACTATCGTCTTGTTTAGTTTCTGGGGTCAGTTCCGTATCAGAGTGAGAACACACATTATTGCCTCAAGTGTATAACCATTTAGTTAGTGTAGTTAATGATATCGACTTTTTTCACGATCCCCTAAATTCAATAATAAATAAAATTAGATCTTAAGTCCTAATATTTGTTCAGAGCCCCAGTGCCATGTAATTGGAATTTTTATTCTGTATGGTTTCTGGTTAAATAAATAAATAAATAAATAAATAAATAAATTTGTTATTCTTTGTCTGGCTTTGGATATCCTTTTTGAAAAAGTAAGATAATCCCGCATTGAAGGCGTGACCAGAAATGTACCTAACAGTTTTTACAGTTTTGAAATTTATCCTTATAAGGAGAAGCTTCCCATACGCAAGCTCGCCTACTTTTTACTTTCATTAATGTTTTAACAAATGCAAGTTTTTAACACAAATTTCTGTGATAAATTCACAGACCCTCACAACACAGCGAAATCCCCTTTGTTGCGTCAGCGAATACGTAAATCAACACCGAAACGTAACAGTATCCTTTCAGCTTAGCGAAAGTATACTGGCGCGTTTAATTAGTTTGTCCTTGACCGCGTACTATGGAAAGCGTTTAATTCTATATTAACTGTGTATTACTTCCTTAAGGGGTTTAATACAAGGCAACAGATCGAAACCTCCTCCTCCAACACCGCAACATAGTGTGACATAAGACCAACACCTAGTAGCCCGTGGGGTTGTTCGGTAGTGCTGGTGATGAAGAGATGCGACAATACGACGGTTTCTACGGACAAGCACACTGAAGGATACCAAGCGGGAGATCTGGTTGCTCGAGATTTGGAAATGGATCGTGGAATAGCTATGGTTTTCACGAAGTTTGGTGAACTTAGACCGATTCCACGACAACTTTTTCGAGTTTGTTACGTTTTTTTCTTACGTATATAATTCCGAATTTATATTCAGTATTCTTACACCATATAGGTATTTACTTTGTAAACCCGTTTAGTAGGATGTATGTTATTCCTATAGTAGAGTTCTGACTTTACCTCATTCTACTAACATTAGTCACTTAGGACAGAGCTGTGTATCTACCTTATTCTAAATTAGTTTTTGAAATTACCGAGACCTACTTCGAAACCAATTTTTAGTCACGTTACTTGTTTTACTGAGACGAATTTTTTATGTTAGCTTATTTACATTTTCAATTGATTACATTGCATTGCTGGTGTATAGAAAAGTAGTTATTTGTGCATGTTAGTTTAGTTAACGGAAACTGAATTATTGATTCTTATTGAGTTTTAATTCAATGATTTACTTCGTGTCAGACGTTAGACATCGCTACCGCAATATTTTGTGCCGGGCTATTCACTACCCCTCTTGTTTGCTTCTTCGTGACGTTATCTGTTACCGATAGGCAGAACGCGCCCTTCTCAACTCAAAAGGTTGCGACCTGAAGTTCAAAGCTAATTTTTTTTATTTTCTCGATTCGTTAATAGAACGTTTAATTACATACTAGTGTTCCATACAATCAAATTGTAATTACTACATTTCTTTGATGGCCATTTAGCAATTATACCTCCGTTGATTTTTAGAGGAAGCTGTTTTGATTTTAATAATTTTTCTGAATGAATAACCCGTCTGCTTTTATGAATATGCATCCTGGCGCGAGAAATAACGTGAACAAAGTTCATTCAATATTTCTATGAACGGTATTTTGATTTTTTCGGCTTTCGGTAATAAAAAAGATCCGCTAGAAAAATGTGAGATAATAGAAATATTTCATAATATCATGTCAAATTCAATATTGTAATTTTTTGTAACAGCCCATTTGAGTTTTGTTACAAGCAAAGCAGTAGTAGGGGCATCATTCAACGTTACCTACTACTATAGAATTTATATTTCGATCTCCAGTAATGAAATATGAACGCAATCTCTTTCTTTTTGTGATTTTCCGAAGGTATACCCTTATGTATTATACGTCTACCTAACAGTATACCTACACTGCCTAATTGAAATCGATTAATTTAATATTTAGCTGTATTTGTACGGGAAAAAATTATTGTAACTAGGTATACCTATCCTTGCTACTTTCCTATGTACATGGTAGTGTTACAGGGTCTCTCTTTTCCGTTAGTCTGAAAAAAGACAAAAATACACCTAGTTCAATATAAATTTGTTTTTTCACTACTAGCGTCTGATGACATCATTATTAACCTTTTTTCCACTTGTAAAGTAGGCTTTCTCGGCATTTGTTCAAAGTGGTTAATAATGTGGACATTATTAACTAGTAGTCAATAATGAGAACTGTCACGCTTCACTTTTAGAAAAAACAACCCGAAATTTCGCTCAATAAACGTTTGGACAAGTTCTCTAAAATGAATAATTGCCACCATCCGCCATTTTCAGAGAAATTACATACCTAAAATTATCACATTTTGGAAAAATTCGAACGAAATTACTCTTCGAAAATATCTCAATGACAGAACAAAATACGGCCTGTTTGACTTGTACTTCTACGTACTTGATTGACATGTTAAATTAATAAACAAAAAATTCTGTCCAACCGTTCACTTTCTTATCAATATAATATGTTAATTTAGAGGATTTCAAGTGCTAGTAGTGAAAAAAATAGTATATATACCACGGTAGAGAAGTCTATTATTGCCTTCGCACCTTACACCCCTCGGCGCAAGCGCCTCGAGATGTAATCTTGGTGCTCAGGCAATAATACTGTACTTCTCTACCTTGATATTATAATGTATTATTGTACGTCATAGACAGAATAAACTGCCATACCTACTAATTTAAAGTCTGATTTTGTCAGTTGGGATTTAATATCCAAAAGAAAACTCCGTTCATTTGAATTGTCGCACCATAAGTACTGATGGCGTTGCTCCATTTTGTTTACCTATCGAAATAATCCGTATTCAAAAATTGGTACAGAGAGGCAGAACAGTAAGAAGGTGCTGTAATTGCTAATGAAGTCGTTTCAGTGAATAGTCGTACCTTATTATCATTGGGAAACCGCAAGGACTGTTTACTATGAACATTATGATTCATTATAGAGTAAATAGAAAAATGAATGGTTTGTTATTTACGGAAAAAAGGAAGCATTAGTGTAGGTACAATTAAATCTAGTGAGATAACCATTTGTGCAGCCTTGAAAGGATGGAATAAAGACAGACACATTACCTCTCCAATAAAGTGCAAGTTCTCACGGATAATTGCATAATGTTATACGCAACAATAATTATTTATGTAACTTTGAATGGTAATAAATACGGAACAGTTGTGGAAAAGTTAAATAGTATATTGAAAGACAAGTGTTACAATGCGACCTATTGTAATACGACTATCTTGTGGCACGAGTGGCGACGCGAAGCGTAGCCACGA